AAAAAAATTTTGAAATCCCCCCCCCCCCCCTCTGGCAGACTATCTAACAAATGTGTAACATTGTAACATACTTTTCTTTCCTTGTCGAAATGTAACATAAGGCAAGGAATGTCATGTGTGCTCTTGTGCCAAATAGTGATTGCATTAGTCTAGTGTAATTGGGATTCAAAATAAAATATTATTGGGAAAACATTTACATTCTACCATCATTTTTTTCCACATCAGTTTGAAGAATAAAACTGGTTCTTTTCTGCCATTACGACATTCAGTTGAGGCTCCACGTTAGTTTTCCCAATCATCAGAGTAGCTTGCAAGTGTAAATCAGAGAAAGATGTTCCGTAGCCAGATTTGACATTTTCCAATATGTCTTCTCATACAAGAAGGTACTGCCAAAGGTGGAAATGAATTCACAAGCAAAGGCTTTTTAATGAACATTCTGAACACATTATAAATTTCCAGTTCCAGTTTTTTTAAAAACATAATTAATATCTGATTTCAACAAATGATCGCTTTCATTTGTAGTTCAGCCGTCAGCCCATTAACAACACAACTAAAAGGATATTGAAGATTTTTTTTTTAAAAGCATAGCCATTCTTTATAGAAAAATTACACTGAAACTACTGGCACCTTATCAAGTCTTCAAGAAATAACGGTACATCTCGCGAGGGATTGGGACTTGTTTCCTTTTCATGCTATGAAAATCGAGTGAAACAACTCTTTACTGACAAGGACTGGGAGAATTTTAAAAAATAATTTGTGTAAAATACATTCGAATCGGTGTACATGTCGGAGACAAACTTCGTTTCTCTTTGCATTCTGAGCTTCAATTTGTTGAAGTGTTTGGTTAAATATGCAGAAAAAGTTTATCAAATAAAAACACAAAAACATTCGCTCTTTGTAAGGAACAACTGGAAGAGACTATTGTCTTTCAAGAACATTTAAATTGGGGTTATGAGTTTTAAAATTTGTGATTGCACCTTTCCACCCCTGAGCCACCCTACAGAAATGTGGTAGATGTTTGGGATATTTCACTTTAAGCTGCCTCAAAAGCTAACATAACTAACGATGTTTTGGGCAATGGGAACTGTTACGTTATCTGGTTTTGCAAATTGAATCTGTTTGAAGATTTGGCTGGTCAGATGAACAATACGTAACAAAGGACTGAAGACCTGTACACAAAAAAATAAAAAATAAATGAAAACATTTTTTTTAAAAATTTATTATAATAAATATATAAATAAACGTTTATCTAACTCAATATACATGGATGGGTTAAAGGTTTAATTTAACTTAATTTAACTGGATGACTAGATGGTCCTTGTCGATCTTGACGGACGAAGCGCATTACATCGAGTGTGTTTCTATTCTTGTAACACAGTTTTGGAACAACAGAGTAAAATGAATTAAAAAACAAAAAACAACTAAACCTATATTTATTAAATCCCCAAAGACTTTTCTATTTTCAATATCAGAATAATAATAAAAAAAGTAACCAGCTTTTCCTAAAAACAACAACCTTAAGGTACTTGGTAGGTTTTTAAATGATGTCATCCTTTGTTAATTAATTCTAATTTGAAATGCATCTTGTTTTATGCTGATCTGAGATCGAGTTTGAACCACGTTAAATTTCACCAGTAACTTTATTTTTACCAGTGATAGAGTCTGATAATGTGATCTGTACGTCCAATCAATATAAATTAATAGATATAGCGAATACACGTCTGCAAAAAAAAACAAAAAAAAAGTGACCGCAGATTACATTATAAATAAATATCATTCATCTACTTTTAGTAGTTCACCTTTTGGACGCCAGCTTAACTCGATCCCACCATGCACTGCGATGCAAGTAGTTATTGTTTTCATTAAACATACTGTATGTTTATTTTTTTACTATTAAGATACCGTTTTGTACGATTTTGAGGCGATAGTGTACGATTTTAGGAGTTGGAGGGTAACCAGGTCTGCAATAAACAAGAAAATTTAAATACAATAATTACAAATGGTGATTTAAAGCGCTTAGAAGTCAGAAGGTCTTCGGGCGTGTGAAGATCTCCTAGTTTACTCAACGTAATATTTCAATTGTTTGACAACGCCTCGTGTTCCATACCTTTTATCAAGCAAGTTCAAATACCGTCAGGGGGCCGGATGAACCCGTAGTTTGGCGACCCCTGTTCTAAAGCATATCGATGAGGAAATTTGTAATTGATCTGAAGCAAGTTTTAGTAGTTTGAAAATGTAAATCAACATTTCAATCAACTGAATATTGGGAATTTAAACTTAATTTTCATATGATTTCCCTCAAATAAAATCACACATTTTTAAATATATGATGTCTTTTGTAAACAACTCACGTCTTCTTAACATAATTATGCCGGGAAAAGCACATACATATACCAATTAGCATGGGATAACACTTTCATAAAACATTAAGCATGAAATAACACACATTCAAGCACCAATTTGCATTGAATAACACACAGACATATACCAATAATCATGAATACAATAAACATAGGTATAACTAAGTCCGTCATCAGCTCACTGTAACGTCGTCCGCTCCCAGTGACATCGTCCGCTCCCAGTGACACCGTCCGCTCCCAGTGACACCGCCAGCTCTCAGTGACGTCGTCCACTCCCAGTGATACTGTCACCTCCCATGTGACGTCGTCCACTCCCAGTGACACCGTCAGCTCCCGGTGACGTCGTCCGCTCCCAGTGACACCGTCAGCTCCCAGTGACGTCGTCCACTCCCAGTGACACCGTCAGCTCCCAGTGACGTCGTCCACTCCCAGTGACACCGTCAGCTCCCAGTGACGTCGTCCGCTCCCAGTGACACCGTCAGCTCCCAGTGACGTCTACCACTCCCAGTGCCGTCGTCAGCTCCCAGTGACACCGTCAGCTCCCAGTGACGTCATCCGCTCCTAGCGACGTCATTCTCTCCCAGTGACTTCGTCAGCTCCCAGTGACGCCATCCTCGTCCAGTTATGTCATCAGACCCCAGTGACATGGTCAGCTCCCACTGGCGTCATCCACTCCCAGTGACCTCGTCAGCTTCCAGCTCTTTTCAATACAAACACTTTATAAACATATTTCACCAGCACCCCACACATCCATTACACTAAATTTTTCACCATCACCCCACTCCTCAATTACACTACATATTTCACCAGCACCCCACTCCTCCATTACACTACATTTTTCACCATCACCCCACTCCTCCGTTACACTACATATTTCACTAGCACCCCACTCCTCCATTACACTACATATTTCACTAGCACCCCACTCCTCCATTACACTACATATTTCACCAGCACCCACTCCTCCATTACACTACATATTTCACCAGCACCCACTCCTTCATTACACTAAATCTTTCATCAGCACCCCCCTCCTCCATTACGCTACATATTTCTCCAGCACCCCACTCCTCCATTTCACTACATATTTCACCAGCACCCCACTCCTTCATTACACTAAATCTTTCATCAGCACCCCACTCCTCCATTACACTACATATTTCACCAGCACCCCACTCCTCCATTACACTACATATTTCACCAGCACCCAACTCCTCTATTACACTAAATCTTTCACCAGCCCCCCCCCCTCCTCCGTTACGCTACATATGTCGCTAGCACCCCACTCCTCCGTCCAAAAATGTTAGCATTGAAGGACACAAATGTAAGTTGTAGTAATGTTTTCATTGCTGCGTTACTTGCGAACATTCCAAGCTTGGTGTGATGTTCTTGTGGTCGAACACTGTTGGTCTCACATCAACATTTTTGGATTTAGGTTCAATCCCAGCTAAGCCATAATTTTTTCAAAGAGCATTTTCTCTTTTCCCATATTAATATTGCTATATGCAGAAAAATTATAACATGGCCCCGGGGGATTAGGGGGAGGGGGGTATTTTGCTCGGTGGCTGGCACCCTTGATTACTGCTCCTTTACAACAGTTTTATATAAAAATTGCGAATGAAGCGCTGCATATAAATATATAAAGGTCAGTCAACTCCTTTGGGGCGTTAAATTTTTTAGACATGCGATTAGTGATTGTATACATTATGTTGAATGTTTATTATTTTATTATTACGATACGGTTTTGTACAATTTTGAAATTGTTACGTAGCCATCTTGTCTGAAACAATATTTTTCTTTTTCGGAAGTTCCATGGTAACCGTGACTGCGGTACTATTACATATTTTTTTGATTTGAGGGGAGGTGATTCGTCATAATTTTGCTAAACTTTTCTTTAATTTTATTTTTAATATGTAGCGTCCCTTGTGTTGGACACAGTAACAACAATCGCTTTCTGTGATATATTCCTCCATTCAAATTCGAAGATATTTGAAGTAATTTAAACTGTTGCGAGCTGAGTTGGTTTATGAGTTCTGCCCCACTATTTGTGTGTGTGTGCTTTAATAAGTTGATTAAATTTAGACTTTTAAATTATTCAGCATTCTTGTTAACAAATTAGGGAAATTCATGCCCACGTGTATCCTTGATTTTCTTCTGATTGTAAGGATCGGGAATATTTGATTTTAATATACTTTCTACCTTATGTTGTTTAAATCTATATGTTAAGTTGTTAAAGAAATGGTTAATGAAAACAAAAAATCCGTAAAATATAGCCCGAGTTTCGAATGTCCGCATGAGCTTAA